TGTGAAGAGAGTAGTAAGGGAGAAAAAGTTAGCATATGAGAAGTTTTTACAAAGTAGAAGTGATGCAAGGAGGGAAGAGTATATGGAGAAAAAGAGAGAGGTTAAGAGAGTGGTGAAGCAATGTAAAAAAGAGAGCAAATGAGAGAGTGGGTGAGATGTTATCAACAAATTTTGTTGAAAATAAGAAAAAGTTTTGGAGTGAGATTAACAAGTTAAGAAAGCCTAGAGAACAAATGGATTTGTCAGTTAAAAATAGGAGAGGAGAGTTATTAAATGGAGAGTTAGAGGTATTGGGAAGATGGACGGAATATTTTGAGGAATTGTTAAATGTCGATGAAGATAGGGAAGCTGTGATTTTTGTGTATAGGGCAAGGAGGAACATCTTGTAGGAGTGAGGAAGAGCCAGTTGTGAGTGTGGGGAAGTTCGTGAGGCAGTAGGTAAAATGAAAGGGAGTAAGGCAGCTGGGATTGATGGGATAAAGATAGAAATGTTAAAAGCAGGTGGGGATATAGCTTTGGAGTGGTTGGTGCAATTATTTAATAAATGTATGGAAGAGGGTAAGGTACCTGGGATTGGCAGAGAGCATGCATAGTTCCTTTGTATAAAGGCAAAGGGGATAAAAGAGTGCAAAAATTATAGGGGGATAAGTCTGTTGAGTATACCTGGCAAAGTGTATGGTCGAGTTATTATTGAAAGAATTAAGAGTTAGACGGAGAATAGGATAGCAGATGAACAAGGAGGCTTTAGGAAAGGTAGGGGGTGTGTGGACCAGGTGTTTACAGTGAAACATTTAAGTGAACAGTATTTAGATAAGGCTAAAGAGGTCTTTGTGGCATTTATGGATTTGGAAAAGGCATATGACAGGGTGGATAGGGGGGCAATGTGGCAGATGTTGCAGGTGTAGGGTTTTGTAGGAGGTAGGTTACTGAAAGCAGTGAAGAGTTTTTACGAGGAGAGTGAGGCTCAAGTTAGAGTATGTAGGAAAGAGGGAAATTATTTCCCAGTAAAAGTAGGCCTTAGACAAGGATGTGTGATGTCACCGTGGTTGTTTAATATATTTATAGATGGGGTTGTAAGAGAAGTAAATGCGAGGGCCTTGGCAAGAGGCGTGGAGTTAAAAGATAAAGAATCACACAAAGTGGGAGTTGTCACAGTTGCTCTTTGCTGATGACACTGTGCTCTTGGGAGATTCTGAAGAGAAGTTGCAGAGATTGGTGGATGAATTTGGTAGGGTGTGTAAAAGAAGAAAATTGAAAGTGAATACAGGAAAGAGTAAGGTTATGAGGATAACAAAAAGATTAGGTGATGAAAGATTGGATATCAGATTGGAGGGAGAGAGTATGGAGGTGAATGTATTCAGATATTTGGGAGTGGACGTGTCAGCGGATGGGTCTATGAAAGATGAGGTGAATCATAGAATTGATGAGGGGAAAAGGGTGAGTGGTGCACTTAGGAGTCTGTGGAGACAAAGAACTTTGTCCTTGGAGGCAAAGAGGGGAATGTATGAGAGTATAGTTTTACCAACGCTCTTATATGGGTGTGAAGCATGTTGAAGAATGAAGAATGTTGCAGCAAGGAGAAGGCTGGAGGCAGTGGAGATGTCATGTCTGAGAGCAATGTGTGGTGTGAATATAATGCAGAGAATTCGTAGTTTGGAAGTTAAGAGGAGGTGCGGGATTACCAAAACTGTTGTCCAGAGGGCTGAGGAAGGGTTGTTGAGGTGGTTCGGACATGCGGAGAGAATGGAGCGAAACAGAATAACTTCAAGAGTGTATCAGTCTGTAGTGGAAGGAAGGCGGGGTAGGGGTCGGCCTAGGAAAGGTTGGAGGGAGGGGGTAAAGGAGGTTTTGTGTGCGAGGGGCTTGGACTTCCAGCAGGCAAGCGTGAGCGTGTTTGATAGGAGTGAATGGAGACAAATGGTTTTTAATACTTGACGTGCTGTTGGAGTGTGAGCAAAGTAACATTTATGAAGGGGTTCAGGGAAACCGGCAGGCTGGACTTCGAGTCCTGGAGATGGGAAGTACAGTGCCTGCACTCTGAAGGAGGGGTGTTAATGTTGCAGTTTAAAAACTGTAATGTAAAGCACCCTTCTGGCAAGACAGTGATGGAGTGAATGATGGTGAAAGTTTTTCTTTTTCGGGCCACCCTGCCTTGGTGGGAATCGACCAGTGTGATAATAAAATAAAAAATAAGTAATGTGCTAAAGATATCTCAAGACAAGACTCGCAGCCATTTAAATTTTTTTTATTCAGAACGGAAATGGGGAAGCACCAGCTTGACAACAGAGTTTTGGATGAGTGGAACAAACTCGCATGTAGCATCACTGAAATGAAAACCCTGGCTAGCCTTAAAAATTGGTTAGACTGGCTGTGAGTTGGACATGCCTAGCATGGGTCAGTAGGCCTGCTCAGTGCTCCTCCTTTATGTTCCTGTAAACTTATATACAGAAGACAGCAAGTAATCTGCACAAATTAATCAACGAATCTCAGAATGGTTTTACAAAGGGGCGTTCCTGCCTTACGAATTAACTTTTTTCACTAAGGTATTTGAGGAGGTAGATCATGGTAATGAATATGATATTGTGTATATGGACTTCAGTAAGGCTTTTGACAGGGTCCCACATCAGAGACTATTGAGGAAAATTAAGACACATGGAATAGGAGGAGAATTTTTTTTCCTGAATAGAGGCATGGTTGACAAATAGGCAGCAGAGTTTGCATAAATGGGGAGAAATCAGAGTGGGGAAGTGTCACGAGCGGTGTTCCACAGGGGTCAGTGTTGGGCCCCTTGTTGTTCACAATCTACATAAACGACATTGATGAGGGCATAAAGAGCGACATAAGCAAGTTTGCCGATGACACAAAATAGGCCGTCAAATTCATTCTGACGAGGACATTAGAGTGCTCCAGGAAGATTTGAATACTGATGCATTGGTCGAAGTGGCAGATGCAGTTTAATATAGACAAATGCAAAGTTCTAAATGTTGGACAGGAAAATAACCATGCCACATATAAACTAAATAATGTTGATCTTAATATTACGGATTGCGAAAAAGATTTAGGAGTCCTGGTTAGCAGTAATCTGAAACCAAGACAACAGTGCATAAGTGTTTGCAATAAAACATACAGAATCCTTGGCTTCATATCAAGAAGCATAAATAATAGGAGTCCTCAAGTTGTTCTTCAACTCTATATATCCTTGGTTAGACCTCATTTAGATTATGCTGCACAGTTTTGGTCACCGTATTATAGAATAGATATAAATGCTCCAGAAAACATACAAAGGAGGATGACAAAGTTGATCCCATGTATCAGAAATCTTCCCTATGAGGTTAGACCGAGGTCCCTGAATCTGCACTCTCTAGAAAGGCGTAGAATTAGGGGGGATATGATTGAGGTGTATAAATGGAAGACAGGAATAAATAAAGGGGATGTAAATAACGTGCTGAAAATGTCTAGCCTAGACAGGACTCGTAGCAATGGTTTTAAGTTGGAAAAATTCAGATTCAGGAAGGATATAGGAAAGCACTGGTTTGGCAATAAGAGTTGTGGATGAGTGGAACAAACTTCCAAGTACAGTTATTGAGGCTAAAACGTTGTGTAGTTTTAAAAATAGGTTAGATAAATACACGAGTGGGTGTGGGTGGGTGAGAGTCGGACCTGATTAGCTTGTGCTACTAGGTCAGTTGTAGTGTTCCTTCCTTAAGTGAATGTGACCTGCCCTGACTAGGTTGGGGCATTGGCTTAAGCCTTTAGGAGGTTTGGACCTGCCTCGCATGGGCCAGTAGGCCTGCGGCAGTGTTCCTTCTTTCTTATGTTCTTATGTTCAACCTCACAGAATTATATACAGAAGACAGTAGGGGGAGGTGAACAGTCCCTCAGTTAGGCCCTAGGAGCAGATGCTGAGCATCCTAATCTTCTAGATTCTGGAGTAAAGACTGGAAATTGGTCCCTATCTCATCTTCTGTATATAATTCTACAAGGCTAAGGGAATAATTACCTCCTTTTCTACAGTCTTCCGTTTTATGTTCTCGTATTGTACTGATAAAGCCACTGGTTGTTAACATGTCTACAAAACAAAGATACCCATATGTTACACGTGTCTAATTCATAAAAAACTAAGTTTTAAATAATAATAATAATCTTTATTTACTACAAGTACATGTACATGGTATACAGTCCTAGCTGACAACAATGACATACTACTACATAGAAAGCCACTTGTTATGCTGAGCATCTCGGGCAAATTAGGTCAGTGTCCCAGGATGCGACCCACACCAGTCCACTAACACCCAGGTACCCATTTTACTGATGGGGAACATAGACAACAGGTGGAAAGAAACACGCCCAATGTTTCTACTCTGGCTGGGAATCGAACCCAGACCCTCGCCGTGTGAAGCGAGAGCGTTAACCACCAGGCCACCTACGCTTTGCCCGAAACGCTGAGTATCCTATGAGAATTAAGATTACTGTCCGTCTTGTATAGTAATTTGTAACCATTTGTATTTGTTTACCAAAGTTTTTCATAGGCACAAATATAACCATCTTCACTGCACACTATATTTTGTTGAGGGATCATACAACATTTAGGGAATAAAAGACATACGGGTTCGATCAAGAGGAAGAACAGGTCTAATTCCTTGCATCAAGAGCCCCTCAATATTGAGTATCGCGAGGGATATCCATTTAACTGGTGAGTTAACATAGTAAAAATCATAAGGATTTTATCGCCACATTTACAAAATTCGATAGACGTGGTAAATGTAAAGTAAACCTCACAGTTTTTCACATAATAATAGAAGTGGCTCATTCAAGTCGACCACAACATCTGCACGTGGGACACATCATTATCTCACTATTTTCTTACTGAATCTCTACTTTTTTCAATGAAACACACTCCTAACACATCGCGGATATCCTTCCCGATGACACTTTCATCTTCTAGACTCTCCGTGATCACAGATAAAGTAAATGAAGGCGGTAAACTTCACGAGACTCACTTTTTGGAGGCATAGCGTGTGTTGTTCCACGGGAAAGAGGTGGTGAGGCGGCCGCTGAGGCAAGATGGCCGCTGACACCTGATGTGCGACATCCGCACCTCACTCTCAACTTTCCTTCTCCTTATTTTAGCGAACTAAGAAGGCGGAAGTCAAGACAATACAGGTAGCTGATAGTGAGAAAATATCGATAAACTGGATTAAAGATACTATAAACAATATGGAAGTTTTATTTAAAGCAGTTTCTCGTATTTTTTTTTTTAAGGACTTCAGTGAAGATAAGTCACATTGTTTGACTTTATTAGGTTATCTGTGGTTAGATTCTACATAATTTAGTATATAAAACTATTGTGAAAGTTTCAAATTATACAAGAGGTATATATAAAAGTTTATGAAAGCCTGGTCTCCAAGGGATACATTAAGTAATTTTAGTTATATATAATTACACATAAGCGCAGCTACACAAGTTTTTTAGTGATTACAATTGTCTTATATAGTAACATACGTGTAATTTACCTAGGATAACCTCAAAAAAAAAGTTATACGAAGGGACTTAGGTATCCCAACGGAGTATCTTCAAGAGGTTGCCAGATTTTTCTCTTTTTCTTCCTCCAACTTTTTTATTTTATTTTATTTCGCTCAAAACTCGAGAAGGTTCATCCAATCATCTTCAAATATGCACACTTCCGTACGGTAACAAGGACCAAATCCTAGGAACAACTGGCATGTTCACGTGACTTATGGCCCAAGTTGTTGTCGCCATTCCCAGCATCCTGGAATGGCTCGGACAAATACTGAACATACAGTAGCGGAGCTACGAACATTAACATGAGGTGTGGAGAGTGATATTTAGATGTGTTGGTGCAGATTTGACTATTTTATGTGTGAAAATAGTAAGTTTATTTAGGCACAAGTACACATAAGTACAATCATCATATGGTGTAAATTTTCTAGGATAACCCCCCAAAAAAGTCAGTGACTTATTTCCGTAGTGTGGAATTTTTATTCCCATTAAATCAAGTTAAATAATTTCCGGTCTACTTCTTCTGAACGGCTTCAGTATTTAATGGCTGTGCAACTTGGGGCCTGGAGAGTACCTATTAATTTTTGTTTACATACAGACAGTGAACTAGTAAAACAAAACTTGAAATGGTTGGAATCCCTGCCATAACTGGACAATGACTCATCTGCTTGGCTTCAAATTTTCAGTTCTGGGGCTAATTTGTTGACTACCAAGTTCACGCTGCTACTGAGGGACATTAAGTCACAGTTTGCCGATTTTGTTGAATAATTAGCGGTATTCATTTTATATTCAATAACTAAAGAATGCTTCTGCTGTTCGCTTCAAAATTTTATTGACGATGCATTTATTTAATTTATTTTATGTCTTTGCAAACAGTACATTGAGATTTTGTATTTACAATAGTGGGTTGCAATGCAAAGAGACCCTCTATTATGCCTAGGCATTATGGGCATTCTATAAGTTGGATAATATTTCATAAGTTTAGCTCGAATAGGCGTCAATTTGAAATTTTACTGAAATGGTGAAAACAAAATAAATTGCTGGAATCAATATTATTTACTGGAGAATGGATTTTTTGATCGGCTTCAAACCCTAAATGCTGGTATATCTCAATAGGAAGTATTTTATATCAAATTTAACCTGTATGGGTGCCAATTTCCAATTTTTGTTTTAAAAATATAAATCAAAATAACGTTTTTTCTTATAGGATTGTGGAGATTTTTAAATAGAAAATAAATCAGAAAAAAACAAGAAAAAAATAAATTCGCGATTTATGGTACTTTTTAAAAACAAATGTGAAGGACCTGGGAGTGATAATGTCAGAGAATCTCACTTTCAAACTCACAACAATGTTTCTATCACACCTGCTAGGAAAAATAATAGGATGGATAATGAAAACCTTCAAAAGTAGGGATGATAAACCAATGATGATTCTCTGATGATTCTCTTGTTCTCTCTAGGCTGGAATATTGTTGTACACTAACTGCCCCTTTCAAACTACAGACATGGAGAATGTACAGAAACTTACACTGCACGTATAGGTACAATGAAGCATCTAAATTACTGGGAACGTTTGAAGTCCCTGAAAGATACATGATAATATACACTTGGAAAATCATAGAGGGACTAGCCCCCCATATCTGCACATGGAAATCACTTCCTATGAAAGCAAAAGACTGGGCAGGCGGTTTAACATCCCCATAATGAAAAGCAGGGGCACCACGAGTACGCTAAGAGACAATACAGTAAGTGTCAGGGGCCCAAGACTATTCAACTGCCTCCCAGCATACATAAGGGGGGGGGATTACTAATAGACCCCTGGCTATCTTCAAGAGGGAGGTGGACAGGCATCTAAAGTCAGTACCTGAGCAGCGGGCTGCGGTTCGTACATTGGTTTGCGTGCGGCCAGCAGTAACAGTCTGGTTGATCAGGCCCTAATCCACCACGAGGCTTAGTCATGGACTGGACCGCGGGGGCGTTGACCCCCGGAACACTCCAGGTTGAAGATTAAGACACCAACAATACCACCAGTCCGATAACATTCTTCTTTGCAAATATACAGGGTCTAAAGCCAGCAACAAACAACAAAATACCTTTCATCTGTGGACTGCTTGCAGAGGCAAAGGCAATGTTCGCGGCTTTCACTGAGACCCACATAAAGGATCACTTGGACAACGAAATATGGATCCCAGGTTACATCCTATACAGATGTGACAGAGTGAACAGGCAAAAGGGGGGGGGGTTGGCCTGTACATTGCAGAGTCACTTGTTTGCACAGAACTGCTAAATGCCTCAAATGATGTATGGAAGTTTTAGCAGTAAAGGTCGAGAACCAAAACCTAGTCATTGTGGTAGTCTACAAGCCTCCGGATGCAACATCCCAGCAATTCCAGGAACAGCTTTTAAAAATTGACCACTGTCTGGAAAACCTTCCAGCTCCTGCACCCAACATCTTGCTCCTGGGGGATTTCAACTTAAGGCACCTAAAATGGAGGAATATAGCAAATAATATTGTTGCAGTAATAACACCAGGAGGCAGCTCTGATGAAAACTCACACTCACGCGAGCTTTTAAATCTCTGCACAAAATTCAATTTAAACCAGCAAATAATAGAGCCTACTAGACTGGAGAATACACTAGACCTCATCTTCACTAACAATGATGATCTGATAAGAAATGTCACCATATCAAAAACAATATACTCAGATCACAACATAATTGAGGTTCAGTCATGTATGCGCGGAGCCCCAGACCGACATAATGAGATAAGTCACGAGGGAGCATTCACCAAATTCAACTTCAATAACAAAAACATAAAGTGGGACCAAGTAAACCACGTCCTAACCGATATAAGCTGGGAAGATATACTAAGCAACACAGACCCCAACTTATGCCTAGAACAGATTAACTCGGTGGCACTCGATGTATGCACAAGGCTTATTCTTCTAAGAAAAAGGAGGAGTAGATGTAAAACAGAAAGAGACAGGCGCTTCCTTTACAGGCAACGGAAAAGAATAACAGAGCGGCTAAAAGAGGTCAATATATCTGAAATGCGTAGGGAGACACTGGTCAGAGAAATAGCAAGCATCGAACTTAAGCTAAAAGAATCCTTTAGGAGTCAGGAATCGCGGGAAGAACTAATAGCCATAAATGAAATCGAAGGAAACCCAAAGTATTTCTTCTCCTATGCCAAATCAAAATCGAGAACAACGTCCAGTATTGGGCCCCTACTTAAACAAGATGGGTCCTACACAGATGACAGCAAGGAAATGAGCGAGCTACTCAAGTCCCAATATGACAGTTTTTAGCAAGCCGCTAACCAGACTGAGAGTCGAAGATCAAAATGATTTTTTTATGAGAGAGCCACAAAATTTGATTAACACAAGCCTATCCGATGTTATCCTGACGCCAAATGACTTCGAACAGGCGATAAATGACATGCCCATGCACTCTGCCCCAGGGCCAGACTCATGGAACTCTGTGTTCATCAAGAACTGCAAGAAGCCCCTATCACGAGCATTTTCCATCCTATGGAGAGGGAGCATGGACACGGGGGTCGTCCCACAGTTACTAAAAACAACAGACATAGCCCCACTCCACAAAGTGGGCAGTAAAGCAACAGCAAAAAACTACAGACCAATAGCACTAACATCCCATATCATAAAAATCTTTGAAAGGGTCCTAAGAAGCAAGATCACCACCCATCTAGAAACCCATCAGTTACACAACCCAGGGCAACATGGGTTTAGAACAGGTCGCTCCTGTCTGTCTCAACTATTGGATCACTACGACAAGGTCCTAAATGCACTAGAAGACAAAAAGAATGCAGATGTAATATATACAGACTTTGCAAAAGCCTTCGACAAGTGTGACCATGGCTTAATAGCGCACAAAATGCGTGCTAAAGGAATAACAGGAAAAGTCGGTCGATGGATCTATAATTTCCTCACTAACAGAACACAGAGAGTAGTCGTCAACAGAGTAAAGTCCGAGGCAGCTACGGTGAAAAGCTCTGTTCCACAAGGCACAGTACTCGCTCCCATCTTGTTCCTCATCCTCATATCCGTCATAGACAAGGATGTCAGCCACAGCACCGTGTCTTCCTTTGCAGATGACACCCGAATCTGCATGACAGTGTCTTCCATTGCAGACACTGCAAAGCTCCAGGCGGACATCAACCAAATCTTTCAGTGGGCTGCAGAAAACAATATGAAGTTCAACGATGAGAAATTTCAATTACTCAGATATGGTAAACATGAGGAAATTAAATCTTCATCAGAGTACAAAACAAATTCTGGTCACAAAATAGAGCGAAACACCAACGTCAAAGACCTGGGAGTGATCATATCGGAGGATCTCACCTTCAAGGACCATAACACTGTATCAATCGCATCTGCTAGAAAAATGACAGGATGGATAATGAGAACCTTCAAAACTAGGGAGGCCAAGCCCATGATGACACTCTTCAGGTCACTTGTTCTATCTAGGCTGGAATATTGCTGCACACTAACAGCACCTTTCAAGGCAGGTGAAATTGCCGACCTAGAAAATGTACAGAGAACTTTCACGGCGCGCATAACGGAGATAAAACACCTCAATTATTGGGAGCGCTTGAGGTTCCTAAACCTGTATTCCCTGGAACGCAGGAGGGAGAGATACATGATTATATACACCTGGAAAATCCTAGAGGGGCTAGTACCGAACTTGCACACGAAAATCACTCACTACGAAAGCAAAAGACTTGGCAGACGATGCACCATCCCCCCAATGAAAAGCAGGGGTGTCACTAGCACGTTAAGAGACCATACAATAAGTGTCAGGGGCCCGAGACTGTTCAACTGCCTCCCAGCACACATAAGGGGGATTACCAACAGACCCCTGGCAGTCTTCAAGCTGGCACTGGACAAACACCTAAAGTCAGTTCCGGATCAGCCGGGCTGTGGCTCGTACGTTGGTTTGCGTGCAGCCAGCAGCAACAGCCTGGTTGATCAGGCTCTGATCCACCAGGAGGCCTGGTCACAGACCGGGCCGCGGGGGCGTTGACCCCCGGAACTCTCTCCAGGTAAACTCCAGGTAAACGTATGCAACATATGGGAATCTTTATTCAGGAAACGTTTCGCCACACAGTGGCTTCATCAGTCCAATACAGCCACAAGCCTATGATGATTCTCTTCAAATCGCTGGTTCTTTCGAGGCTGGAATACTGCTGAACACTAACTGCCCTTTTCAAGGCAGGCGAAATTGCTGACCTGGAGAGTGTACAAAGAACTTTCACAGCACACATAGGTACAATAAGGGACCTAAATTACTGGGAACGGTTGAAGGCCCTTGATTTGTATTCTCTGGAACGCAGACGAGAGAGATACATGATCATACAACTGGGGAAATCCTAGAGGGATTAATACCAAACCTGCACACGAAAATCACTCCCTGTGAAAGCAAAAGACTCGACAGGAGATGCAACATTCCGCCAAAGAAAAGCAGGGGCGCCACGGGTACATTGAGAGACAACATAATAAGTGTCCGGGGCCCAAGACTGTTCAATTGCCTCCCAGCATACATAAGGGGGATTACCAATAGACCCCTGGCTGTCTTCAAGAAGGCACTGGACAGGCACCTAAAGTCAGTACCTGACCAACCGGGCTGTGGTTCGTACGTCATTTTGCGTGCGGCCGGCAGTAACAGCCTGGTTGATCAGACTGATCCACTATGAGGCCTGGTCTCGGACCGAGCCGCGGGGGCGTTGACCCCCGAAACCCTCTACAGGTAAACCCAAACATTTAGGTTGTACTACTACCCACACATTTACTTTGTACTACTACCCACACATTTACTTTGTACTACTACCCACACATTTACTTTGTACTACTACCCACACATTTACTTTGTACTACTACCCACACATTTAGGCTAGTAAGTTTATTTAGGAACAGGTACACAATACAATTATCATACATAGTTTAACACATGTGTAAATTACCTAGGATAATACCCCCCAAAAAAGTCAGACCAAGTTACTTATTTTCATTGGGGTCCTCGTACTGCCACTGAGCCATGAGCCGCTTTTAAACCACATTTATTGACTAACTGATCCACCGGGTTAATAATCCGAATAAAGTTGTCCCCTCTTCATAGTGACAGGGTTAGAACATTTCTATGGCAAGGTAGCAGAAAAAATGCGTTTATGAGGAGTGACTTTGTGTCCTGACCTTGATGCCACATTATTTTAATCTATAAGTTAAAGTCAGTCTAATAAATACATATTTATTGTTTCGTAAGTCAGTTTGATAAACATTGGTTCTGTGCTTATTGTAAGTTATATTCCTCAGCTAGACTTTAAAAACATTAATAAGAGAACAATTTAAGTGTTGCGATTTAAAATTGTTGGAACCAATGTGGCTGTATAGCCCTTGTGGCTTAGCGCTTCTTTTTGATTATAATAATAATTATGGAACCAATGTGGTTATTACAATTTGATTATTTAGAGGATTCTTTTGAGCAGTTGCACAGAAAATAATTTCCACTGGCATAAATTGGCATTCACATAACAGCATTAGCAGAAAACAATAAAATGGGAGGTAACAAAACCTAAAGTGAAGAGTAAGGGTTGTGTGTTTGTTTACTTGGTCAGCTGATACAGGAAGTATCACTTAACCTGCGAACTTGACATGACGTGATTGTGGGCCATTTAACTCTATTCTCCAGTGATTATTTTTCAGTCAACACCGTCCAAGTTATACAGGATCATCGTTTAAAATGGGTAGGAATCTTGCATATATTCAACACGTCTTAATAGGAAAGGAAGTATCGCTTACGTTGTAAGTGTAATGTAATCGACTTCCTGCAGCATATTTTTTCCTTCTTTGATCCTCTTGATGCATGTTGTCTTAGTTAATTTACAGGCAGTTGATTATTCCTTAAGGTTATGTAATTCTAGGTGAAAATATAAATAAGAGTGAAAAGTAGGGAGAAAGGGTTCCCAGTGTTGGGGATTCAATTTACCTGGTTTTAAGATTCTGGGGTATATATTGTCGTATCAGACCCATAAATGTGTTTCTGAATGGGAACAATGTTGCTTAGGAATGTAGAGTGAAGATGCTGTATTATTATAATAGGCAAAAGAAAAAACCAAAACTGAAAATGGCAGGTATCCTTCATAAAACAAAGATTGCATAATGAAACTTGACTTTATAACCTCTATCATCACAATGCTAATGTTTGATACTGTTAGAGAATTCTTGACTTTAAGGAAAAGGCATTATTAACAAAATGTAATTGATTATGGCTTTCTTGGCCTTTGCTATTATATGTACAAGGTATTATAGTTATTCTACGAGTTGCATTATTTTCAGGTTGTTGCAAATGTTGTTGTATACTCCTGCTGGTGACAGTCATCATCATTGCTGGTAGCTTGGGTCTTTTTTCGGCCTTCTTCCCGTACCCAAGCCATGCATCTTGTCGCGTTGACTGGTAATTTTTTCCAATTCTTATGTTGCGTGTATCCAGAGTTTCATCACTTATAGTTTAAAACCAGTTGAAGATATCAACTAAGTACAAAAGATTACAAAACTGACATAATTCTGCAGATATACTGTGGTAGATTTTTAATAGTTTTTGCTCCTCAGTAATTTACTGGTGGTCTGATTACAGGTCATATTTCAATTGGGGTAATCACACCCCCATACACTGGGAAGCAGAAAGAAAGAAATTTTGAAAATTAATACAGGTCGACCATCGCTAGTCCAACATCATTGGGACCACTAAATTCCTTAAGAAAATCTCTTTCTGGTCTGCCAGAGTTAATTGCACTCAGTAGGTGCCTCATAAAATGGATGCAATACTTACACTAGCTGAAATTAGTGTCAGATTAGTGATGGAACCAGATTAGTGATAGCCAGCCTGTACTATAGTTGGTAAGAACCATAGAAACAAGCAAATTGTTATCAGAATACATAATTGTTGCAAAACAGGTTACATTTTGTATGAGTCATTTTGAAAAGTCCATGTATATATATTATAGTAGTAGGTAGGTAGACAGCAACCACCCAGGGAGGTACTACCATCCTGCCAAGCGAGTGTAAAACGAGAAAACGAGAGTCTGTAATTGTTTTACATGATGGTAGGATTGGTGGTGTCTTTTGTCTGCCTCATAAATATGCAAGGTTACAGGTACGTCTTGCTACTTCTACTTACACTTAGGCCACACTACACATACAAGTACACGTTTATTTATACACACTCGTCTGGAGTTACCTGGAGTTTACCTGGAGAGTTCCGGGGGTCAACGCCCCCGCGGCCCGGTCTGTGACCAGGCCTCCTGGTGGATCAGAGCCTGATCAACCAGGCTGTTGCTGCTGGCTGCACGCAAACCAACGTACGAGCCACAGCCCGGCTGATCAGGAACTGACTTTAGGTGCTTGTCCAGTGCCAGCTTGAAGACTGCCAGGGGTCTGTTGGTAATCCCCATTATGTGTGCTGGGAGGCAGTTGAACAGTCTCGGGCCCCTGACACTTATTGTATGGTCTCTTAACGTGCTAGTGACACCCTGCTTTTCATTTGGGGGGATGGTGCATCGTCTGCCAAGTCTTTGCTTTCGTAGTGAGTGATTTTCGTGTGCAAGTTCGGTACTAGTCCCTCTAGGATTTTCCAGATGTATATAATCATGTATCTCTCCCTCCTGCGTTCCAGGGAATACAGGTTTAGGAACCTCAAGCGCTCCCAGTAATTGAGGTGTTTTATCTCCGTTATGCGCGCCGTGAAAGTTCTCTGTACATTTTCTAGGTCGGCAATTTCACCTGCCTTGAAAGGTGCTGTTAGTGTGCAGCAATATTCCAGCCTAGATAGAACAAGTGACCTGAAGAGTGTCATCATGGGCTTGGCCTCCCTAGTTTTGAAGGTTCTCATTATCCATCCTGTCATTTTTCTAGCAGATGCGATTGATACAATGTTATGGTCCTTGAAGGTGAGATCCTCCGACATGATCACTCCCAGGTCTTTGACGTTGGTGTTTCGCTCTTATTTTGTGGCCAGAATTTGTTTTGTACTCTGATGAAGATTTAATTTCTTCATGTTTACCATATCTGAGTAATTGAAGTTTCTCATCGTTTAACTTCATATTGTTTTCTGCAGCCCACTGAAAGATTTGGTTGATGTCCGCCTGGAGCCTTGCAGTGTCTGCAATGGAAGACACTGTCATGCAGATTCGGGTGTCATCTGCAAAGGAAGACACGGTGCTGTGGCTGACATCCTTGTCTGTGTCGGATATGAGGATGAGGAACAAGATGGGAGCGAGTACTGTGCCTTGTGGAACAGAGCTTTTCACCGTAGCTGCCTCGGACTTTACTCTGTTGACGACTACTCTCTGTGTTCTGTTAGTGAGGAAATTATAGATCCATCGACCGACTTTTCCTGTTATTCCTTTAGCACGCATTTTGTGCGCTATTAAGCCATGGTCACACTTGTCGAAGGCTTTTGCAAAGTCTGTATATATTACATCTGCATTCTTTTTGTCTTCTAGTGCATTTAGGACCTTGTCGTAGTGATTCAATAGTTGACACAGATAGGAGCGACCTGTTCTAAACCCATGTTGCCCTGGGTTGTGTAACTGATGGGTTTCTAGATGGGTGGTGATCTTGCTTCTTAGGACCCTTTCAAAGATTTTTATGATGTGGGATGTTAGTGCTATTGGTCTGTAGTTCTTTGCTGTTGCTTTACTGCCCCCTTTGTGGAGTGGGGCTATGTCTGTTGTTTTTAGTAACTGTGGGACGACCCCCGTGTCCATGCTCCCTCTCCATAGGATGGAAAAGGCTCGTGATAGGGGCTTCTTGCAGTTCTTGATGAACACAGAGTTCCATGAGTCTGGCCCTGGGGCAGAGTGCATGGGCATGTCATTTATCGCCTGTTCAAAGTCATTTGGCGTCAGGATAACATCGGATAGGCTTGTGTTAATCAAATTTTGTGGCTCATAAAAAATTCATTTTGATCTTCGACTCTCAGTCTGGTTAGCGGCTTGCTAAAAACCGAGTCATACTGGGACTTGAGTAGCTCACTCATTTCCTTGCTGTCATCTGTGTAGGACCCTTCTTGTTTAAGTAGGGGCCCAATACTGGACGTTTTTCTCGATTTTGATTTGGCATAGGAGAAGAAATACTTTGGGTTTCTTTCGATTTCATTTATGGCTTTTAGTTCTTCCCACGATTCCTGACTCCTAAAGGATTCTTTTAGCTTAAGTTCGATGCTTGCTATTTCTCTGACCAGTGTCTCCCTACGCATTTCAGATATATTGACCTCTTTTAGCCGCTCTGTTATTCTTTTCCATCGCCTGTAAAGGGAGCGCCTGTCTTTCTATTTTACATCTACTCCTCCTTTTTCTTAGAGGAATAAGCCTTGTGCAAACATCGAGTGCCACTGAGTTAATCTGTTCTAGGCATAAGTTGGGGTCTGTGTTGCTTAGTATATCTTCCCAGCTTATATCGGTTAGGAATTGGTTTACTTGGTCCCACTTTATGTTTTTGTTATTGAAGTTGAATTTGGTGAATGCTCCCTCGTGACTAGTCTCATTATGTTGGTCTGGGGCTCCACGCATACATGTCTGAACCTCAATTATGTTGTGATCTGAGTATATTGTTTTTGATATGGTGACATTTCTTATCAGATCATCATTGTTAGTGAAGATGAGGTCTAGTGTATTCTCCAGTCTAGTAGGCTCTATTATTTGCTGGTTTAAATTGAATTTTGTGCAGAGATTTAAAAGCTCGTGTGAGTGTGAGTTTTCATCAGAGCTGCCTCCTGGTGTTATTACTGCAACAATATTATTTGCTATATTCCTCCATTTTAGGTGCCTTAAGTTGAAATCCCCCAGGAGCAAGATGTTGGGTGCAGGAGCTGGAAGATTTTCCAGACAGTGGTCAATTTTTAACAGCTGTTCCTGGAATTGCTGGGATGTTGCATCCAGAGGCTTGTAGACTACCACAATGACTAGGTTTTGGTTCTCGACCTTTACTGCTAAAACTTCCACTACATCATTTGAGGCATTCAGCAGTTCTGTGCAAACAAGTGACTCTGCAATGTACAGGCCAACCCCCCCCCTTTTGCCTGTTCACTCTGTCACATCTGTATAGGTTGTAACCTGGGATCCATATTTCGTTGTCCAAGTGATCCTTTATGTGGGTCTCAGTGAAAGCCGCAAACATTGCCTTTGCCTCTGCAAGCAGTCCACGGATGAAAGGTATTTTGTTGTTTGTTGCTGGCTTTAGACCCTGTATATTTGCAAAGAAGAATGTTATCGGACTGGTGGTATTGTTGGTACTGGGGGGGGATTTTTTTTTCCGGCATTAGTATCTGTATCTGTTGGTTTGGAGTGGAGGCCATCGACTGTGGTTCCACTCCAGGAATAACTGGATTTGGTGTACGATTTCTGCCATTTCCTGCCAGTTTTTTTTCCTTCCTGGCACTAAAAAACCTCTCCCTCTTGAGTGGCTGTGGCTACTCAGGTTTTCCCATGGCCTGGATGTTTTGTATCTTTTTGTCCCCTTTAGATGGTATGCCTGGCAATTTAAGTTATAGCAGACTTTCCTGTACTGAAGAGGTACACAGTTCAGGGTGAAAAAGCTTACAGGAAGGGAGTTTGCATTTTCCTGTTGTCATATGGGCATGGCATTTTCTAGGGTGGTCATAGTTGCACGTCCCATCTGTTTTTCCAGATTTCCCATGCCAGCAGATACCAAGTGCATAGTATGTGCACAGGCTTGGTTTCCGTTTGCCTTGGGTTTCTGTGACTGTATTCCCTGTTGGTGCATGTTTCCCTGTCTTACTTCTATCCTCCCTAGCACCAACAATGGAGCTCCCACCAGTTGTTTTTGGTAATATATCCTCACTATTGCTAGTGGAGTCCTCTTGTTTGCTATTTCCTGCAGTATTTCTAGTTTGCAATATTGGTTTTATCTTATCTTTGACTACACTTGTTTCCCTACTATGGCTCCTGTCCCCTATGTGGTCATTTATATGTATTCCTTCCTGCGTATACTTCCCGACTACCTGGACAAAATCTCCAGCTTCACCATTTCTGTCTCCCAGGACAGCATCTCCAGCTTCACCATTACTGTCTCCCAGGACAGCACCTCCAGCTTCACCATTACTGTCTCCCAGGACAGCACCTCCAGCTTCACCATTTCTGTCTCCCAGGACAGCACTATCAGCCCCACATTTACTGACTACCAGGACTTCATCTCCAGCCTTACAGTTTCTGACTACATGGCCAGTATCAAGGGCAGTACCATTCAGCACAGACTTTTTATGTTCCCATCTGTTGTAGAAAGCTTCCAGGTTGTCTATGAAAGCAGCTTTGATGTTGTCCTCTTTTAATACCCTTGTGATTTTAGTCCACAGATTTATCTCATTTGGGCATACCCAAAAACATTTCCCTGTTTTAACACTGCTTGTAGCTAGTTCTTGGATATCTGCACAAGGGG